AATCCTTGGGGGATTGGTGCTGATTTAATTACACTGAAGAGTGAGCACTTCTGATTACATGCAGGTGTCACCCATTGGTCAGTGTGTGTTCGTTGTACCCTATGTGCCTGAGCTACAGAGAAGGAGAATTGGTAACATGCCCAGCTAGAGAGCCTGGCCCCGTAGCTCAAGCTGTAGAGACTTGGGCTTTGCTCGAGAGGTTTCTGCTTTAATCCCCAATCTGTTGAGCAAGATAGCGCCTAGCAACCTTCTGTGTTCTACAGCACCCCCAATCTACAAGCTCACACCCATGAGCAACTCTTAATGCAGCTCCTCATGTGCTTTAGCATTTGCAGCCCCTGGACCCACATACACGGTAAGAAAGTCCCAGTGAAATGCTGCACTGTGCTAGTCTGTCTGCAATTGTAATGAGTTTGTTAGTTTCCACTCAAATATTTTTCACACTGGGTTGGTCAGGAAGGACCCTTGTGTGATGACTAGGACATGTGTCTGGTTACAGTGTCCTGCCAGTTTTGAGTTAACTACTTTGAAAATACTTCACCTTATTTAAATTTTTACCTTCCCTGCACACACACAAACTTACATCCACCCTCAGGTGTCAGTAACCTCCAAACTCTTAGGCTTTTCTTTGTCATCAAGCTGTAGCTTTACACAGTTTTAAAGCCTTATAAATATTGAGTCTCTGCAGACAGCAGCCATTTTGTTCCCAGAATTTCACAGGTTTTAAGGCCAGAAGGGACCATTTGATTATCTAGTCTGACCTCGTGCCATAGACTTTCCCCGAGTTACTCCTGTATTGAACCCAGTATCTTCTATAACTGGATTCTCTTCCAGGAAGGCATCCAGCTTTGATTTGAAAACACCAAGAGATGGCAAATACATCATTTCCTTTGGCAGTTTTTTCTAATGGTTAGTCACCCTCCCTGTTAAAAATGTTAATCTTATTTCTAACTTAAAATTCTCTGGCATCAGCTTTCAGCCACTGGTTCTTGTTCTGGCTTCTCTGCTAGATTAAATAGTCCTTGAGAACCTGGTATTATCTCCCTGTGAATGTACTTATACACTTTATTGAAGTCATTGGAGATGCCCACATACGATGATGATTCCCCATTGGCAACTATTTTAGGTTGTATATGCTATTATATGTGTGCTTTAATGAGGTTCTATGGTGCTAGGTTTCTAATCAGAACCTTGTGCTGTGATAAGTCCCTGTCAGGCTAAGTGGTCTATCATTACCCAGCTCATCCTACCTGCCCTTGTTACCTATTGGCAGAACATTAACTCTCTTCTAGTCTTCTGGAATCTCCTCAACATTCCAGAATTTATTAAGAATCGTAAGTGCAACAGAGATCTCCTCAGTCAATTCTTTGAGGATTCTGTAATGGAAGTTTTCCATGTCTGCTGATTTAAAAATGTCTATCCCTAGTGGATGTTCTTTAACATCCTCCTTATTTTCTTATGCATAGATAGTAGTCACCATCGTCATGTAATATCAGTACAACAACCTGCTTCTTTCCAAATACAGAAGATAAATATTTATTGAACACTTCTGCCTTTTTCTGCCTCATTATTAACAATTTTATCACCACCTATGAATGGGCCTGTAGCATTGTTAGGATTTCTTTTTTTCCTGATAATTTTAAAAAACGCTTTCTTGTCCTTAGCACTGTGAGCCATGCATTCTTCCCTGATGTCCTTAGCTTCCCCTTTCATATAGCTAAACTTCATCACTTCTAATTTAGATTGACTGTTATCTATTTCCCCTGTTTCCCATTTGTTACAGATATTGTTTTATTTCTAATTGTTGACTTCACGTCCCCTGCAGACTGATACGGAGCAGACTGAGCCTATGCACTCACTCCTCCAGACTTTGTTTTTCCTACTTGATTTCCCTATTTCAAAATATAAAAGCCAGGTGGACATTGGGGTGTTTGGGCCCCAGCGCCTGCCCATATATGAAGCTTCGGCAGCATATGGAGGCTGTAAAAGGACCATAAAGGGACTCGGGGGGATTCTCCCAAAGTATGAGTACCACACAGCTGCCATAATAGGTCCCTGTTGCAAGCACTGGAGCTGGGGTGGTGCTGGAGATGTTGGTGGAGGCTGTCAGGTCTCGGGGGGCAATCCCTGTAGCACTGAGCACTGCAGAGAATCTGGGCTGCTCCAGGCTGTGGCGAGTCCCACAGGCAGCCTGGGTAACGCTGCTGTATGTAAGAGCAGCCAGAGGAGTGGTTCCTATACATGTTGGGGCCAGTCCAGTCCAGTCCCCAGGTGGCCCATGTGGGCAGCACAGATGTGGCTTGAAGCCTCCTTAGCCTCTGGGCTGGGCCATGTGTGCGGAACTTCTGAGAGCATTAAGGAACCGCTTGGATGTAAGAAGGAGAGGAACAAATATTTCTGTTCACACTGCAATGTTTGCCTTGGAATGCTAAACTTACCTTTGACAGCAAAACAGCGCAAGATTAGAGCATCTTCCAATGCGTATTGTTTTAAAAGGGCATGTCAGAAAGGAACAAAAACCCCCACGCAGTTTACATCTCTTGCTGAGTTTCTGAGCCTTGGAGAATTCTGTAGAAAGAAAAAGTGTCAACATCAGTCTGCAGAGCAGGATTAATAAGGGCTGTGATTAGAGGATGACAGGCATTTAAGCCCATAAGAACGGCCATACTGGGTCAGATCAAAGATCCATCTAGCCCGGTGTCCTATCTTCTGACAGTGGCCAATGCCAGGTGCCCCAGAGGGACTGAAACGAACAGGTAATCAGCAAGTGATCCATCCCCTGTCACCCATTCCCAGCTTCTGGGGACATCATCCCTGCCCAACCAGGCTAATAGCCATTGATGGACCTATCCTCCATGAACTTATCTATTCTATCTTTTATCTATTCGATCTATCTTTCCTATTCACTTCCACCTGGCTAAGACAGACCAATTATCTTCAAGTGCAAAAACTTATCACAGTTTTAGTACCATTCCTCCAATGGGTGTAGTTCTGTGCACATTCCGTGGCTGACTTTAAGAAGGGAACAGAGCGAGTTAATTAAACAGGGACCCTGGCTTTCAGGCTGCAGGGTTCAGAACTGTAGCTCTGAGCACGGACATCCTTTGCTGCCCCCTGCCTTTAAGTGATGGAAAGCAAGTAGCTGCCCACATCTCTACCTTCTTTTAGTGGCTGCAGCTGTGGGTGTGATTCCCTCGGGCTCTGACAGGGATGTGCCAGGCAGTATCATCAATGCAATTTGGCTACGTAGGGTTGAACTGGCTCAGCACTGGGTTGCATGACTACAACTGTTTGAAAGAGAAGGGCTTGAAAAAGTCCCTTCTGGTATGAACGCCTGCCTGTCTGGGAGACTCTGGGCAGATTTTTTTCTGAAGACTCACGCAGGAATAGTTTCTTGATGACCAATTGCCACTCTTTGATTATACGTGAAGGTCCTGTTATTTTGAAAATGCCACCCTAACGTGCACACCCAAAGCTTGTAGAATATTTAGGTTGGAGCATTTTTAATTGGAGGTTGTTGGGCAACTGAAATGGATACATTGTCACAGCTGCAAACACTGTCCCACCCTGATGACATTATTATTAGGAAATCAGCCAAACACATAGTAGTGACAGGTTCTGAGAGGGAGTGGGGTTAAGATACTGAGCTGAGGAGCTGCCATTGTATAGACCCGGGTTCTGTTCCCAGCTCTGTAACCTCTCAGTGGGACATGAGGCCTGACTTTATAATACAGACTGTGAAAGGCACAGAACTACTAACACTCGTGAGCAGCAGACGTTACATCTTAAGTTACAGCCTTTCACCTCCCAGCCCTATGCACTTTCCCCTAGACCAAAGGCATATTGAACGGAGTTGGCAAGAGTTCATTTAGTCTGTATCCCATCCGGTTCTTCAGTTCTGTGATTCCCTGTTTGAGGAAGAGTACATGCTGTGCGGGTAGATCTTGAGGTGATTTAAGCAGCAAGCCTCAGAAAGATCTGAGGAAAACATTATGGGAATTTCCTCCCCCCCCCAGTGGTCATAATTCAGTCAAATCTCAGGGAGTTAAACTGGTGGCAGGAAAGACACCTCCCTGACCTCAGAATCATTTCTCTCAAATGTCATGTATCGTCTGCAAACTGAAGGCTAGAACTCATAAGAAAAAAGTCAGAAACACGTTTTTAATAGAAATGGTTAGACAATCTTAGTATAGGCTCCCACAGATCCCTCTGTATCATCCCTTGTTTTCATTTACTTCTTACCTGGCACACCTTGTAGCACCAGAAAGACAACAGCAAAGAGCAGGTAAATAATCTTCATGGCTGAAGGTGGGCCAGGAACTCAGCGTCACTGGAGAGAAGAGACACCAAGATAGAGATAAGACTGAGTCCCTATATTTACAGGTTATGGGAAAATACGGATCTCTAGAAATATTATTTTAATCAAAATGACATTTATGTATTCTGTAATCTCTTAATAGTAATGATTGTTATCTATACATGGAGGATTTCAGAGAAATACAATTGTGGGGCAAAATACATTTTACAAATGTGTTTTGTAACTAATTTTAATTTTCCAGTGTCTTGAATTAGGTTCCTTGTGGTAATCTCTTATTCCTTAGCCAAAATACAAACTGGAGAATTATCGCACATCTACATTTTATAGTCACCAAGATAGAATTGAAAGCAATTCCGAAATTACAGAGAGCAAAATAAAGGTGGTTGGATTTTCATGTTTATGAAGTATAACTCAATA